TAGATAAGCCCCTCCTCACCTCCACCCACTGCCTTCTAGAAACCTTTCAAGCTTCTAGAGCAGTGGGAGGTATAAGGGAACTGACCTGCAGAGCCCTCAGCCCTGACCTTAAATTACCTGGCTGACTCATCCCAGGCTAGCTCATACCAGGCTGGTATCCAGCTTCTAACTAAAAACCTATCTACCTCCCCCTAGCTAACTAGAGGGGCACTACATTTCTATTTTTTAAAGGCCTTTTTTTCCCTTTAATACATATTTTCACATCAAAGTTTAGCCACTCAGGTTTCATCTTAGCTCTTTTATATTTTTTGCCTATTGGAATACACTGGCTAATACCTCCATTTCATATATTCCTAAAGGACTCCCATTTTTCCTCATTGTTCAGTGTTTTCTAGGGCTTGGTCTCATTTAATATCTTGTAGTATTGAGCGTAGTTTAGAAAAGTTGGCTCTTTTGAAATCAAGTGTTCTTTTACTACCCATGTGCCTTCTTCTCCGATGATTTATGCCAAATATAATTTAGTTGGTCCTAATTATCTTTAGGTTCTTTATCTACAAACTGGAAGTAATTATTTTGTAAACTGTTGCAGCCACAGTTCCATTTTTAAAAGTAGCAATATTAAGAACTATAATGTGAAAATTATGTAACTGCGCTGAGTGCCAAAAAATCCAAACACATTGTGAACCATAACACAGAAAAAACTGTGAAACAATAGCTGCACTCAAAAATATCAATATAAATACTCAGTAAGTGATATCCAGTTGTTGTTGCGCAATTGATAAAAAATATACCAATAGTGAGTCACTTATATTTTAAATGTGCTCCTGCAAATTAAGTCAAAATGCATGAATCACCAAACAATGAAAAAGTCTTTTGATGACAGAATTCCGATTATGATGAAACAGCTGTGTCCACAATGATCCTCCACGTGTGTAGTGAAATAGAGCCTCACGTGCCCACCACCACGAAAAAACACACGGCTCCTTACCGAATAGCTAGACCCCAGATTATAAGTGGTCTAATAGAGCATGATGCTGAAAATATCTTGCTTGTAACATCCTAGATGGAAAAGAGGTGTACTAGACTTCGTTTCTCTCCAAGGTCACCTGGACCGTAGACAACCAAAGCGCTGCCTCCAGGAACCAGGAAACCATGGAGAAACCAAGAGAAACCAGGTTTCCCCTGACCTCTTCTCCAGCCTGTGATACCACTCCAGTCGAGCGCCACCTGCAGTGGAGAAAAGAAGACAGCATCTGCCTACACCCCAGCCTAAAAATATCTGGCTAATACAAAAAATCCACACTGTAGGCAACCTTCTACAAGTGGCATTTGCATTCCTATAGACTTGTATAGGAATGCAAACTCCACTCAAATCCTTACAGGCCATCAACCAATCTCTTGTTATGGTCACAACAGTAAAATGTAAGATTTACTTTCACTGTCTCAGTCTCATCATGCTAGAAAGCGAGAGTGAATTTCCAAAATGGGGACACAGATGGTGGTAAAACCCTGGTTCCAATTTATCTCCACTTTTCCTATTTTAGAAGAGCAGCTCACACCTGCACTCTTGTAGACCACACAAGGGATCCATGCCTTCTAGTTTTTCAAACCAGAAAGTGAGAAGAACCCTTGGGAATTTATTTTCCAACTCTTTACAGGGGGGAGGATTCCTGTCATGTTCAACCATTATAATGTAAATAACCCAAAAAGGAAAACAGTATGTCTCATTATTGGAATCCTACCCACTGCTCATTATTTAAAGAGATAATTGCCATTGTTTCTTTCACATGTCAGACAGTGAGTGACCTGTGTGCATTGTTGAGCTTGACCTTTTACCAGATCACTTATGGAGAATTGGGTAATATGTTAAATATAATTTTATTCAGTAAAAATATAGCAAAAACTGTTGGAATAGATTACATGGCTGGTGGCCCAGACATACAGTAGGTTTAAACAGGTTATCTTGTGTTTTAACACCTTAATTAAAATGGGTTTTCCAGATATGGATTAACTAATAAGAGGCACTGCCAGGTTCGAGCTTAATTTCAATTCAGAAAATGTAGGAAGTGTGTAATAATACAAAATCTGCATTAAATGGCATAAAGTGAAACATTGCAAGCATTCTGATGCACTATCATATTTGGAGGTGAACAATAAAGCATAGCTAAACCCCCCCAAAAAAAATGTAGGCTGTTCTGCCACAGCCAAAATGTGCTGGAAATGCAGACTATATGACATCCACAAGCAGGCCCGGACTGGGACAAAAAATAGGCATGCATTTTATACTGAGCAGCCAGTTTCTCTAGGGACCGGGGAAGGGGAAGAGTGGTCTGGCGTTTGCAGGGGCAGTTGGTGACGGAAAATTCACGGAGTCTGTCCTCCGCACTGTAATGTAAAGAGGCACTGAGATATAAAGGGGACTGCATTGTAAACAGGCACTGTAAGAATTACAGTGCCCATTTACAGTGCAGTTCCCTTTATATCACAGTGCTCCTTTACATTACAGTGCCCCTAGCAAGCACAGCCCCCTATCATAGTGCCACTTGCAGTCATGCCCCCCTTTATCTCTAATCCCAGTGCCTCCCATATATTCAACAAAGAGATGGCCCAATCCAGCAAAGAGACATCCCTATCCAGCAAAGAGACATCCCCATATAGCAAAGATACATCCCTATATAGCCTAGAGACATCCACATCCAGCAAATAGACATCCCCAGCAAGCAAATACACATCCTCATCCAGCAAAGAGACATCCCAGTCCAGCAAAGAGACAGCCCCATCCAGCAAAGAGACAAGCCCAATGCAGCAAAGAGATAAGCCCAATCCAGCAAAGAGGCAGCCTAATCCAGCAAAGAGGCATCTCCATCCAGCAAAGAGACATCCCCATATATCAAAGAGACATCCCCATATAGCAAAGAGACATCTCAACCCAGCAAAAACACATCCCCATCCAAAAAAGAGACATCCTCATATAGCAAACAGACTTCCCAGTGCTGCAAAGAGACATCCCTATCCAGAAAAGAGACATCCCCATATAGAAAAGAGACTGCCCAATCCAGCAAACAGACAGCCCCATTCAGCAAAGCTACATCCCCATCCAGCAAAGAGACAGCCCCATCCAGCAAATAGACAAGCCCAATCCAGCAAAGAGACAGCCCTTCCAGCAAAGAGACATCCCAATCCATCAAGATACAAGCCCAACCCAACAAAGAGACATCCCCATCCAGCAAAGAGACATCTCTATAAAGCAAAGAGACTTATCAGTCCAACAAAGAGACAGCCCTATCCAGCAAAGAGAAAAGCCGAATCCACCAAAGAGAGAAGCCCAGTCCAGCAAAGAGACATCCCAGTCCCGCAAAGAAACTGCCCAATCCAGCAAAGAGACATTCCAGTCCAGCAAGGAGACAGCATAGTCCAGCAAACAGACAGCCCAATCAAGCAAAGCGACATCCCCATTCAGCAAGCAAACATCCAAACCCAGTAAAGAGACAGCTCAGTCCAGCAAAAAAACAGCCCAACCAAGTAAAAAGACATACCCATCAAGCAAGGAGACATCCCAATCCAGCAAAGAGACAGCCCAGTCCAACAAAGAGACAGTCCAATCCAAAAAAGAAAGCCCAGTCCCGCAAAGAGACAGCTCAATCCAGAAAAGAGACATCCCTATCCAACAAAGAGATATTTCAGTCCAGCAAAGAGATAGCTCAGTCCAGCAAACAGTCTTATCCAGTAAAGAGACATACCAATCCAGCAAAGAGACAGCCCAGTCACGCAAAGAGACAGCTTAATCCAGTAAAGAGACAGCCCAGTCCAGTAAAGAGACATTCTAATGCAGCAAAGAGACAGCCCAGTCCAGCAAAGAGGCAGCCCAGTCCAGCAAAGAGGCAGCCCAATCCTACAAATAGACAAGCCCAATCCAGAAGATATCCCATCCTGCAAAGAGACAACCCAATCCAGCAAAGAGACATCCCTATCCAGTAAAGAGAAAGTCCAGTCCAGCAAACAGACAGTCCAATCCAACAAAGATACATCCCTATCCAGCAAGGAGACATCCCAATCCAGCAAGGAGACATCCCAATCCAGCAAAGAGACAGCCCAGTCCAGCAAGGAGACATCCCAATCCAGCAAAGAGACAGCCCATTCCAGCAAAGGGACAGTCCAATCCTGAAAACAGACAACCCAGTTCCACACAGAGACAGCCCAATCCAGCAAAGAGACATCCCTATCCAACAAAGAGACATTCAAGTCCAGCAAAGAGACAGTCCAGCAAAACAAACAGCCTAATCCAGCAAAGAGACATACCAATCCAGCAAAGAGACAGCCCAATCCAGCAAAGAGACATCCCAATCCAGCAAAGAGACAGCCCAGTCCAGCAAAGAAACAGCTCAGTCAAGCAAGTCTATACAAATTGTCTTATAATTTGTCTTATAATGTGTTCTAACAGTAAGTGTTCAGTGGCAGTGGCAATGGCAATGGCCTGGCACTCACTCACTTTTTCTTCAGTCCAGGCCGCACCCTGTGGTGTCTGTGGCTACAGCAGTGACACCTATTCGGCATCAGGCGATGGTGTATCCTCCAGCTTCTCCCCCTTCACAGTCATGGGCAGCCTATGGGTCTGCTGACTGCTAGCTCACATCCCCTGCTCTGATGGCCATACAGGAGGAGAAATGACTGAGCAGCAGTGGAGAGACCAAGGAGCAGTGTGGGCTCGAGATGAGGGGCAGCTCAGCTGCTGCATCTGCTTTGTGTTTTGCCCCACATTAAATATATGCAATTTCCTGATATGCCCTATGGCCAGTCAGGGCCTGTCTACGGGTCATGGTACATTAGGTGATCAAAAAGTTGAAGATACAGGAATATATTTTTAAAAATGGCTTATCTGAGACCCAGAGCAGATCATTTTACAACACCCTTCTGATCTATACAACAAATTCATTGTAATATTAATTATGATTGAAATGAATAATAATGGTCATAAAAGCAAACCAGATTGTTAAAATTATAGTGTTTTCCACGCTAATGTTCAGTAGAGAAGTGTCCCTTACACTGGCGGACAGTGGGAAGAATGTTCCTTACATTGGTGGTCAGTGGGAAGAATGTTCCTTATATTGGTGGTCAGTGATAAGAATGTCCCCTTGCATTGGTGGTCAGTGAAAAAAAATGTCCCCTTATATTGGTGGTCAGTGAGAAGAATGTCCTTATATTGGTACTCATCATATTGGTACTCAGTGGGAAGAAAGCTCCTTACAATAGTTGTCAGTGGAAAAAATGGCCCTTACATTGGTGATCAGTGGGAAGAATGTTCCTTACATTTGTGGTCAATGGCAAGAATGCTCCTTACATCAGTGGACAGTGCAAAGAATGCTCTTTACATTGGTAGTCAGAGGAAAGAATGTCCTTATATTGGTGGTCAGTGAGAGGAATGCTACTTACATTGGCTGTCAATGGGAAAAACGTTGCTAATTTGGTAGTCAGTGGGACGAATGCTCCTTACAGGAGGAATGCTACTTACATAGGTTGTTAATGGTAAAAATGCCCCTACCTTGGTGGTCAGTGGGATGAATGACCCTTACATTGGTGGTCAGTGGAAGAATGCTCCTTACATTGGGTGTCAGTGAAGATTTGCTCCTTACATTGGCGGTCAGTAGAGAAGTGCCCCTCATATTGGTGGTAAGTATAAAAATATATCCTTAGATTAGATGTCAGTGGAAATTTGCCTGCTTAAAGTGGTGATAATCGGTGTAGGTGGGAGATCAATCCACCACTACTCAAGGACATCCAAGCAATCTCTGGAGGGATCCTAGCTGAGAAAGGCTGCAACAGATAAACTATACACATATGTTTTACACATGCCTATGTTGCACTGAACATCTGATTGGAACCAATGGTGTTTTGTTAGGACATTGTACATTCTTACATATGTATATGTGGAAATATCCTGTTCATTCTTGCTGAGAGATCATCTAATAGTGGGATGTAATGGAAGGTCTTTCTATAGGGATGAATGGGATTTTCTCTGCATATGTGCTGAAGTGAGGGGCCACCCAGAAAGGTTGCAGTGAAGGTTAAGTGACTGCACAGTGTGGATCTTGCTGGACTGTGGACAACTGACTATAAAACTTTGTGGGGAAGGGAAGCTGTGGGAAAGAGGGAGGTGTAAAACTTGAAGGATAACTATACAAAAGTACAGCCATTCTTAAGACACCTAGTTAGTATATACACATTTATGTACAGACCCATACTTGTGTTCTTTGTGAATTATATGTTGTTATCCTTACAGAAAGGACAGGACATAAACGTGTTTTATACCAATTTTTTAAATACATTTTTCACGTAAGGCATTGCTTCTCTCTGCAGAACAGGAGTTTATTTGATATTATAGGTTTATTTTCTACTTTATTATTTCTCTGTGATAGTGACTCTGGGGTCCTTAGTAGTCTTTCTTTGTTCAGGGGGCTTCTTTCAGCACAGCTAAAAACTATTATTCTAATGATGTGAAAAGGATGCTAGTGCTCCACCCTCTGGCTGGAGAGAAGAATCATTTTATATTTTATATCTTACCCAAATAATAATTCAAGTAAAACAACAGCCAAACCTTTTTCTTTAACTATAGAGTGTAAAGGTTTAGAACTTCTGTTTTTTATTGCTGTGTGAAAACAAAAGGGAAATGACAGAAGCACAAATACCACCTAATGTCCCATAAGTAAAGTTTGTAAAATGAATGAGGGAATGAGAGCCTGAAGGGTCCCATTCTCACAGTCTTCTGTGTGTATCACACTGCCAATAAATGCTTTCAGGGACTTCTCAAACCCCCGGCATTTGCACTGGAGAAGCAAGGCTCAATGGTGAAGCTTTTATTAGCGGGCTAAGCAGACCACACACTGACAACTCTTCGATGTGAGTACAGGTAGCTACAGAGCTGCTGTTAGAAACCACAGGGCCCCTTACAGCCTGCTCACCCTCTCTGTCCATATCTGATTCACCCAGCTGCCTGGGCCCTCCTGCTGGCCTGGGCCCCATACAGGAGGACTGGTGGTATCCCATTATCCATGGCCCTGGATAGCTATGAGACTTGTCAAGGGTGATAAGGGAGGACATTAGAGCCCACTAACTGTAACTCCACTGCAATGTATGGTAATGCACCTTAAGCACATTAATTGCATTGCCATTTGTTTTAAATAGTACCCCGACACAAACACTGCAGCGCACCACAATGCGGGATGTGTACTCAAATTTCCTAGACAATCCTTCATTCTTTTGAATAACAAGAAAAAATTATTCCTTTTTTTTGGGACAGGAAATTATTATTTTTATTATTATACAGGATTTATATAGCGCCAACAGTTAAATTATAGACAGTACAATTACAATACAAATGAATACAGGAGGGATCAGAGGGTTCTGCTCGTTAGCGCTTACAATCTAAGAGGTGAAGGGAAAGCTCTCCATTGAATCACACAGAAAAAAAAAACCTGACGGGTTTCCAAACTAAAAATCCAAAGGTTTTACCTTCATTTTAGGAGACAATTGTCTCCCCATAACAGGAAATTACTGAATAAGGACCTTCATAGCAGGATTGCCAGTTATTATTATAGTGTTCTTGTAATTTCAAACATTTTCAACTTTTTTTTAATCTGCTGCCTTCATTAAAATATTACCCTTTGATCCTGCCATGAAAGTTCTTATTCAGGCACTTCCTGTTTTGGAGTGACAACTTTCTCTTGACTGTGCTCATTCATTGTCATCCAGGCACACGCACCCCTGTTGAAGACCAAAAGCACCCATTTTGCGTAAAAGCTGGCCATACACTGAGAATTGTAACAGATTTCTTCATTCATACTATACAGAGCAGATAAACAAAACTCCTGCTATGGCCATAGTGTTTTGGCAGCTGGCCCCGCCAACTGTCGAAATACCCAATTAAAAGAGCATTTAACATGGTGGGATTTTTAAGGCACAACACAATTGTTCTCTTAAAACATGCAATGTATTTATGCATACAGTATATCCCAAAAGTGAGTGCACCCCTCACATTTTTGTAAATATTTGATTCTATCTTTTCATGTGACAACACTGAAGAAATGGCACTTTGCTACAATTCTCCATCTACACCTCCTCCCTTGGCCAACTCATACACTCTCACGGCTTCAACTACCACCTATATGCCAACAACACACAAATCTATTTCTCAACCCCCCACCTCACCCCCTCAGTCTCTGCCCGAATCACACACCTACTGAGCGACATATCTGACTGGATGTCGCTCCACTTCCTTAAACTGGAACTCTCCAAAACCGAGTTTCTTGTCTTCTCCCCAGCCCGCACACCACCCCCCATTGACTTCTCCATCATGTCCAACAACGCCACCATCAAACCCGCCCCGCAGGCCAGAGTACTTGGTGTCATTCTGGACTCCAACCTATCCTTCCAGCCCCAAGTCCAATCTTTAACAAGCTTGTGCAGACTCCACCTCCGCAACATCACCAAAATACGCACGTTCCTAACCCCAGAAACCACTAAACAGCTCATCCATTCCCTCATCATATCACAACTCGACTACTGCAACTCCCTCCTTACTGGCCTGCCTCGCCGCTGGCTATCCCCGCTTCAGTCCATCCTGAATACGGCAGCCAGACTCATTCACCTTTCCAACCGCTCCATCTCCGCCACCCCCCTCTGCCATTCCCTCCACTGGCTTCCGATTGCGCAACGGATCAAATTCAAAATCCTAACACTGACGTACAAAACCGCCGACCACACTGCCCTGAACGACTTCACTGACCTAATATCCAAGTACCACCCAGCACGCACACTCCGCTCCTCACAAGACCTCCTTCTCTCTAGTTCCCTGATCTCCTCCTCCCATGCCCACCTACAAGACTTCTCCAGGGTGTCACCCATCCTCTGGAACTCCCTGCCCCAACCCATCAGATTATCACCTACCCTACTCTCCTTTAGGCGCACCCTGAAAACCCATCTCTTCAGGGAAGCCTACCCCACCCCCTGCTAACTTGCCGACCTCCTCCACTCTTCCTACCACTCCATCCCCCCAAACTATCTCCTCCTGTGCCACCATCCCCTCCCTCCTAGATTGTAAGCTCGAAAGAGCAGGGCCCTCAATCCCCTCATGTTTTGCATTGTATTGGTATTGTTCTGTCACATGTTCTGTCCCCCTTTGTAATGTACAGCGCTGAGCGAACTATCTGCGCTTTATAAATACTGTATAATAATAATAATGTGACGTAGTGAGTGTACAGCATGTATAACATGTAAATTTGCTGCCCCCTCAAAATAACTCAACACACAGCCATTAATGTCTAATCCGCTGGCAACAAAAGTGAGTACACCCCTAAGTGAAAATGTCCACATTGGGCCCAATTAGCCATTTTCCCTCCCTGGTGTCATGTGACTTGTTAGTATTACAAGGTCTCAGGTGTGAATGGGGAGCAGGTGTGTTAAATTTGGTGTTATCACTCTCACTCTCTCATACTGGTCACTGGAAGTTCAACATGGCACCTCATGGCAAAGATGGGCTAGGCCGGGTGTCGGCAACCCGCGGCTCCAGAGCCGCATGCGGCTCTTTTTCACCTTGGCTAGGCTCCGGAGCACACTGCCCACCAGGTGACAGGCAATAGGGCAGCAATGGGCAAACTACGGCCCGGCGGACCTTTTAATCCGGCCCACGGAGCTAGGTTCCCGCTAGGCTCCTCTCACAGTCCGCCCTGAAGACCAGTGTAGCATGAAAATCTGTCTCCTATGAGGATCTGTCCCCCTGGACGTATCTGCGCATGTGCCGGAGATCGCCGATCGGCTGCTAATGCCTGAAACTGGCACATGTGCAGATACGTCGAGGGGGACAGATCCTCATAGGAGACAGATTTTCATGCTACACCGGAACGGCGCGGGAACACGGCGAGAGGAACGCGCGGAGCAAAGGTAAGTGAATTGACACAGGGGGGACTTGGGGACTTAATATGGGGGATGAATTAATAGGGGGATGAATTACTATAGGGGGGATGAATTACTATATGGGGGATGAATTACTATATGGGGGATGAATTACTATGGGGGATTAATTACTATATGGGGGATGAATTACTATATGGGGGATGAATTACTATATGGGGGATGAATTACTATGGGGGATGAATTACTATATGGGGGATGAATTACTATGGGGGATGAATTACTATATGGGGGATGAATTACTATATGGGGGATGAATTAGTATGGGGATGAATTACTATATGGGGGATGAATTACTATGGGGGATGAATTACTATGGGGGATGAATTACTATATGGGGGATGTATTTTCAGTTTTAAAAATGTGGCTGAAAAATTTCAATCGTGGTTTTGGCGAGATTTGGCTCAGTTGAAAAAAAAGGTTGCCCACCACTGACCTAAGGCTATGATTGTGATTATGATGATACACTGTGGCCCTGATTAACCCTTTGCTTACTGAGCCCT